CTCATGTTTGCCCTGTGTGCCCTTTGACTTTAAAAATGTGTTTATTTTTCGCTGCGTATTTTGAAATGCTTTATTTATGATTGTTTATGGATGTACTATGTGTGAATGATATTCCAGACGCCTTGTATAGTATGGATGTGTTGGACTGCGGTTGACTATTCGTACTGTACGGCGGGTTGTTGACGTGTCCGAGTAGGTCCGGGGCGTGACACTAGCTTTTCTCCCAGATATTGGGCGCTTCCTGACGTACTATTCCGATCCATTCGACAACTAGCAAAGTCAACATCCGAGTACACAATGAGGTCAAAACCTGAATGATTGGGATACCAAAGGCCTAAGTTGACTGTGCCTTTCAGATACCTCAAGATTCTCTTAACAACAGTTAGGTGGGATTCCTTCGGATTTATCTGAAACCTAGCACACAGGCACATCGAGAACATAATGTCAGGCCTACTGGACGTCAGATATAGCAAAGATCCAATGATAGCCCTGTAATGAGTAGCATCGACTGGTTTCCTTGTAGGATCTGAGTCAAGCTTATTGTTGAGGGGGGGGGGCATAAGGGTTTTCATGGATGATTTTCCGTCCATATTGAATTTTTTCAGCATATCAAGGATGTACTTTGATTGATTGATGAAGATTCCGTCCGGTAGGTTTCGTACTTGCAGGCCTAAGAAGAAATTCAGCTCGCCCATCATGCTCATTTCAAACTTCAATTCGTTTTCATCAGCTCTTCAAACTTCTTGCACAGGCACGAATTAGAAGAAGCAAATATAATGTCATCGACATAGATCTGAATCAGAATGATACCAGTCTTATGTCGTTTGATAAAGAGTGTTGTATCTATCTTTCCCTTTGAGAAGGCTGAATCAACCAGAAATTCTATCAAGGCATCATACCAGGTTCTTGGTGCTTGCTTCAATCCATAGAGCGCCTTATTCAGTTTGTATACGTGATCTGGGCATCACGGATCTACAAATCCTTCATGATGAGCAACATAGACTTCTTCTTGTAGAACTCCATTCAGAAAGGCTGTCTTCACATCCATTTGGAAGACCGTGAAGTTCTTGTGCCTAACTTCTTGAGCGTTCTTAAGGATTATCTTAGATTGAATTTCTTGTAACTCAGACATAGGGGAGAAATATAAATTCGGAAAGTGAACTTACACGAGCCTTAAGCAATCCAAGTATCCCATTATTACTCCCTGTGAAGACCCCAACAATATGCATTTAATATGGATTCTCCCTTTTCTGACTTGACTCTGCAAACCTGATTTGATACTTTACCTTAGCATCAAGGTCTACAAACCAATCCTTTCTGCAGGTCATGTGATTTGAACATCTTGTGTCAAGGTACCATGTATTTTCACTTCCCAAATCGGATTCCAGAACTGTAATGGCCATAAGCAATACACCTTCTTCTTCTACAAAATCTTGACCCTGTGCCACATGTGCCTCTTCTGACCTTTCAGTATATGTATATCTATACCAACATTCATATCAATAGTGGCCATACTTTTGACATATAAAGCATTAATTATTGGGTTTGTTATCATTTCTAGTTTTGGACAGGTCATTATTTTTCCAATTTTCTCTTCCACCTCCTCTTTGATGATTACCACCTCTATAATTTCCTCTTCCACCTCTCTGATATCCTCTACCTCCTCTCATGTTGCCTCCATTTTGAGGTTTTAGATCAGATTGTTCCTGCCCTCTTCGTGCAGATTGACCTTGGCTACCTCTGCCTCTTTTCCCTCTACCTCGCTCAGTACCACCTCTTCCTCTCCATGGTTCATTTCTTTTGGGTAATTGAGACAGAAGAGCATCCTGATCCAAAGAAAACTGTTTAGAGGATTCCCTCTCCTTGAACCCCTGCTCACAAGCTTCTAAAGTTCCTTGTAGTTCTTCTAAATTTAGAGTATCAAGATCACGAGAGTCTTCTACATTAACAACAATAACATCGAACTTTGGGGGTAGAGTGTGTGACACCTTCTGAACAATAGTCCATGTAGTCAATTTTCTACACAGGACTTCATCAGGTTTGTTTAATGCAAAAATCGGTTGAAGTAATCAGAAATGGATTCTGAATTTTCCATATGCACTAGCAAAAATCGGTTGACGTCATAATGTCAGGAGTATTACCTTCCTTAATCTAGTTATTCCTGCATAACTAGATTCCAAGATCTCCCGGGCTTCCTTCGAAGATGTTGCCGAAGCAATTTTCTCAAAATTGGCTTCATCCACACATTGATGGATGTAGAAGAGAGATTTGCAATCTTTCTTCTTTGCTTCACGTTCTTGACCTCTTTGGGCATCAGTTGCTCCACCTCCAAAAACACCGTTGAGAACTTTGCCAACAACTTTTTGGAAGCCAAACAACGTCTTCATTTTCACGCTCCATCTTTCATAGCCTTCTAGGTCCTTGTAGTTCAGCACAGGGATATACCAAACATATTATTCCCGTTGGCCATTGATGCCGATCGCTGAGCTTTGATACTGCTCTTAGTTCGTTAGGTTTGTTATTCCTTCAAACAAAATGAGAGACACATTGATCGTACAACATGGACTCTAACATTCATTAACCGGGAGTTAGAACTGGACAAAACCGGGCCGGCCCGCCCACCCAAATAGACGGGCTTGGCCATATATATTTACCCACCGGCCCGGTTCGAGCCCGGCCCGCAATAAGATATGGGCGGGCCTGGGTTAGGGTGTAGGCCTGTTCGGGCCGATAAGCCCGGCCCGCTACATTTAGTGTGTGTGTATATATATATATATATATATATACACTAATTTATTTATTTATTTGCATATACACATGTATATTTATAGTTACTAATTTTTCTTTATACATATTTTTAGTTTATTATGTTTAAATTTAAATTTTTAGTTCTTAACAACTAGCCCAACCAATATAATATCTATTTTTGTACTTAAAGATAATACTTTGTGCTTAAATTTTAAATTTTAGATATAGTTTCTCATTATTATTTTTGTGCAAGTATTTTTTTGTATGTGTTGAAAGACGTATAAACATTATAAGCGTATTAATTATTTTTTAAATGTTGTAATATTATTTTTAAAGTATTTAAAAAATCATAAAATTTTGAAAAAATTAAATTTTTCCCGGGCCGGGCGGCCCGATGGACTACCCGGCCCGCTTTTATGGGCGGGTATGACATAGGGTTAGGCCCGTTTTTGCGGACCGGGCCAGGCCTGCCCACACATGATGGGCAGAAAATTTATAAAAAGTCCGACCCGAGTCCGACCCAAACCCGTTTTTGTACAGGTCTAAGTCTGGGAGTATGATGTACATATACTGAAACTAAAACATCTGGATATGAGTAAGGACTAACTCCTTATTACAGTTTACACATGAGCCATACAAATAACCCAATGGGCTGAATTCTATTCTAATAGTGGCTTGATATCTTCCTTTTCTTCGGAATCCTACAGAGCCTTTCAGGATTTCTTTAGAGTTTCTTGGCAGCGTTTCTTTGTCTGAAAGTTCTCTCTTCTTTTCCTCTCTACTAAGACCCCTATTTGTAGGCATGGAGGGGGTTTGAAATATGATTTAGAGTTCTAAGAATTCATCCATATCTCTAGGACCCTAATTGAAATGGGTTTTGGGCTTCATTTGCTTGCATTTTAATATCTAGAAAATCATCATTTGTGCAATGTATCTGGATAGCTTTCTTAACAATGTTCATAGCTATTTCTCATGCATATGGACCGATCTAACTAGATTTGTTGCTCTCTTTACAAGTTGGATCATATTTTAGGTCATTATTTGATGATGGGCTGAAAATAATAGGATCGGTACATTGCTTTTACAAGATCAATTCATTATATTTTATCCCAAGGGGGCATATCACCATTTTCCTTTTGATAAGGCTTAAAAACCATTATGAGCAGCCTAGTAGAATTCACACGCTGGTCCAATAGCCTTCAAAGGAAGCCCAATGGATATAGATCCTTCGGCCACATGGAGGCCCCCGACACGTAGATCCTTCAGCCAGAAGGGACATCCAGCGATATCCTCCTCGACAGGATATCCTCTCCACATGCGTTGAATCACCACATCAAGTACAACGTCACGTCCAACCATCGCATTTAATGCAGCGTCACATCCACCTACCACATTTAATGCGGTGCACATGCGAGTGCCGGTGCCACCCCGATTGAGGTGACCCCTCGGCCGTTAGATTGTTGACACGTGTACTCTCATCGCATTTTTGGCTGCTATAAATAGCAGCCCATTCTCCATTGTAAAGAACGACTTTCATATTCGAATACACTCTCTCTCTCTTACTTGTTTGCTCTGACTTCTCTCTAGTTATTCTCCGCAATAACCCTCAGATAAGCTCATGACCGTCACAATTGGTCCAACCATTTTTATGTCCACAATGCCCCAAAATTAAGGTAATAAATTAAATTCATATTTTTATTTTTGATAATACTTGTGTTAAATAAATATTATTTGATCACTATGACAAATATATACGGTGGAGTAATTAATTATTACGGGGTATTATTTTTAGAAAAATTGCCCTAAATAAGTCTACACGAGGTTGCGTATTTCATATTTTGACAATACCAAAGTTTTAAACATGACAATATATTCTAAACTTGACAATGATTATTCTAATTTGACGAATAAAAACATGAAAGTCTTATTTCAGAATTTTCACTATTTCAGGAATGGAAATTGCCCTAAATAGGATTAATTGAGATAATTGAGTTTCTGTATTCCAAAAAAGGACTATCATATTTTTATTCCTTAAATAGCAGTAATTACTGACATATTTTGGAAGTATTGGGGTTTGAACATGACAGTATTTTCCAACGTTGACAGTAATTTCTCCTATTTAGGGAATAAAAACACGACAATTCTATTTTTGAATTACCAAACATAGAAAATTGCCCTTTTCCGAATTTAAACTTGATGAGGACGACATATATGCAAATTGCAAAGTTAGTTTGTTCTAAAAACTTAGTGAGTTAAAACCGTAAAATATAGAGTATAAATGAACTGTATGAGACTAGATATAAATATATTGGAGTAGATTTAAACACATCAGAACACATATGTTCAAACAGATCAAATTATTATATTTGAGAGTAATTATTATTTTAAACGTTACAAAATTGTTTTTTGGGACTTGCTTCTACCTGTGCTTCACATCCGTGTCCGTCACTGTGGAAGTGTGGAGTAAGCGCAAATATATACTCCGTAATAAAGCTCTCAGTTAAGCAGGCAGTTCTTGGTGATAAGTGAAGGTACGGTTCTCGTACTTCGCTTCCATTAAATCCTTTCTCCGGCGTTTATGTCTAATTTCCGGCAATGAAATTCTTACTCTGAAATCTATTTTGATCGAATCGAGTCCGTTTTCGTTCTTTTAGGTGTGAAAATGGCAGTGAAACTGCCGATGATGTGTTCGCATTGGTCACAACCGTCGATATCGAAATTCTCAGCAGTTTTACCTACTCCAAAACGACGCAGATTTGCGAGCATTGACGGTGCTCTCGCTTGGAATTTGCTCCGGCCGGCGCTTATCAGGTCCCGGGCTACTGATCTGCTGAGACGCAGAACCACCGTGCGTTCCTGCAGCGGCAGCTTCTCCGATGAGGAATTTTCCGAGGCAATTGAGGAATTGGTGGCTGAAGAAGAACGGTCTGCTTCGATGTTTCTCGAGATTGTTCCAGAAAGTATAGAGCGGAAGGCCAATTGTTTCGATCTCCCGCTTTCCTTGAGGATTATAAAGAGGAAAAAACAATGGCAGGAAGGATTCCGTCAAGTAGGGGAATCGGCGTATTGCTCTGTAAAGAGAGCGTTTTCTAATATGGTGTTCATAATCAGGGAGCTCCATAGCTACACATTAATGCAGATGAGGGAGATGATCTTCTACGAAGATTTTGAGGGTATTTTGGTCAGAGTACAAAACGAGATGCATGCCTCTTTCGTGTGGCTGTTTCAGGAAGTGTTTTCTCACACCCCTACTTTAATGGTGTATGTGATGATTCTTCTGGCAAATTACAGTGTTCATTCAATGGCTTCTGCTTCTTCACTTCCTGTTCCTTCAATTTCGGCTTCTTCCACTTATGAAACTGCCCGGGAGGTGATTTCTCTGTCAGAAGATCAATCTCATCATCATCATGGAATAGGAAACTTCGATTCATTCACATCTAAGACCTTTTTGGCGTCCAATTCTGACGGGAGGAGGGCTGCTATAGGCGGAAACAGTGGCGGCGGCGGTAAATACAGGCCGACCTCTAGTGGTACAGACGGTGATGATGGGACAATTAAGGAAGCGTTTGTTTTTGGTCAAGTTTCAAGGGAAGAAGAATTGAGGTTGTGGAATTCTATTGAGGCAGATGCCTCGAGAATGCAGGGTGTGGACCTGGAAACGATGCTGAGATTCGTGAGTCCAATAGATGCAACAATTGAATCTGATGAAGACGATCATTATTCCAAAACAGAGCTTCTTTATCGAACCGGGCTCGCCCATGAACCAAACAATACTTTGCTGCTTGCTAACTATGCCCAATTTCTGTTCACAGTCGCCCAAGATTACGACAGGTACCAAATTTTCTTTCCTAATGTTATCCACATTTTATCTTTTGTGGATTAGTACTATTGACATTATTCTAATACTAGTAAGCACTAAGCAGGACTGTTCCAAGATCTTACTATTCACATGTGATGCATTTTAGAAGCAGAGGTTACGGAGTATGTAACATTTGATTGATTAAAAGAAGTTAGAATGAGGTGAAAAATACACTTTTTGGTGTTAGGTAAAATGTAAAAAAGGTAATTTTAAGCAACCATTCTTGCTTGCCTAAACCTTTTAGATTTAGAACCGGTTTGAAAACAGTCGAATTGACTGAATTAGCTCTTTCTGAAATTTATCAAATATTAGTCGAATTGAAATTTATGAAATTTTGATTGAAATGATGAGATTGATTTTGTTGATTTAAGAAAAAATAATTAAAATATATTTTATCAATAAAATACAAAAAAATATATGAAAAGTAGTTAAAATTGTCTTCTACAGTAACTTCAACCGATCAACCGATGTAGCCAGAAAAATAACTTAACTTTAATTATTTATTTTGGTTGTAACATAATTCGGTTAACAAAATCAAAAGTTACTAATTTGACGAGAAAACTGACTAATGATTGATAAGGTAAAAAACAAGATCACCAAACCTGACAAAATTAAAACCTTTTGAAGTCGCAACAAAGACTTTTTAACTTTCTTCACGGAAATGGACTTTTCTCGAAATTTGTATATTCTTGATGTGTTTTAGTCGGATCGTGGTGTTTTTTGAGAAGTTGCAATACTGTTTTAAAATTATATGCAACAGATTTTATTCTAAAACTTCAGGGATTTTTTTTAAACAAACTTCAATAGGGAAAGTAGTAAATGAGATCACTTAAAAATTAAAGCTAGTAAAAAAGAAGTCAGTCTTTGGGTTTAGTTCATTTTTTTCTTTAGTAAGTTGGATTCATTAGGATGATACCGATTCAGGAATTTGGATTGGGTTCATGAAAAAATTTACACTAAAGCCTTAATGTCGAATCTCCCTTCCCTTACAGGTTATCAGTGTTGATTTTTTTGAATTAAAAAGATCCCATCCAAGATTTATTCGACTTAAAATGAGTTGAAAAGTTTTAGTAAGAGTAATCCATGGCTTGGAAAAAGGTGAGTATGTTCCTTCACTAACTAAAATTATTTATAGTGGATAAGAAAATGGATCTGGAGTTTCTCCTGAGACGATCTAGACCATTAAATACTTAGGGGTTAGCACATCAATGGTACATAACATTTTCGTGATCCTATAAGACATCCAGTAGGGTACTTTTCAATCATTATCAGAATTTGGGTCCAGGTTGTTCTTGATAAGGAAATATGTGGTGTAAGCCACAGTCTAGCTACGTTCCTTGTATGACACCAACTCTACTTATCATTGCTCCTGAAAATATCTTCAACTCTTCAGAGTTCAGACATGAGGTTTTTCCATTTCTAGTCATTTGACTATTATAGCAATGCATGCCATCCTAGTACATTTTTTAAATTTTTTATTTTTAATCCTCCAACCATTATTGTAGAAACGTGTTCGGTATCCGAGTTTACATTTTATCATTTTAGTCTACACATTTATATGACAAACATACATTGCATTTAAATTTGCTGATTAAATTTTGCCACAACAATTGAAGTATCAAACATGTGATTGTCCCACTATTGGACCACCAAAAGTGCATATATACCATAACTAAATGACTACAACCTTGTTATTTATTGTTCTAATATAAACGATAAGATCTGATCTAGTTTGAAGGGATCTCATATGTTATACATGTTATACTATCTTCGTTTCATTTTATGTGTATTTTTTTGGTTTGACATAGTCACTAATAAAGCGTTGTGTTTTTTAATACTTTATTTAACAAAATTTTGTGCACATAATTTATATTCAATGAAAAATATTTTTTCAAAATTTAATCAAAACATTTCATCCAGAGGCACTTCAAATGGGCTTGGACGTACAGAACTCCCAGTTAGGCGCGCCTGAGGTGAACATGACTCAATCTATAGAGAGAGAGTAGTCTTTATGTGCCTGACGGGAACCGCCGTCCGGCCGAGACCGTTTGGGGCCCTTCCCTGTAGATTTTTTGATGAACTTTTTTGCGCACGTTCTTTCTTAAGTTTAGTTTAGTCATACCAAATTTCAGCTAAAAATTCAATCGGGAAGGCAGTCAAATGATTTTCTGAAAAATACTGCGCTGTTTATATATATTACCTGCGCAGTGTTCTTAAATAATTTATTTTACTGCCTTCCCAATTGAATTTTTAGTAAAAATTTGGTATGAATAACTAGACTTGATCAATAATATGCTCAAATTTTTTTTATCAAACACTTACACCGGATATAGGCCCCCAAACGGGCTCGGCCGGAGGCTGTCCCGGACATGAAGATTCATCAATATATATACACACACTACTAAATAACTTATGGGTCTCTCTTACCAGTGGACCTGGGAAGTGGCCATAGCTGCCGCTCTAAAATCAGAATAGAGTCGACTTAAAAAGATCAAATAAAACCCATACATCAATACATGTAATAGACTCGACTTACCGATGGATGACTTGCCTATTGAGTTAAAAAAAGAGATGCGATAACTAAACTAATTACGATTCGATGTAACTTGAAAATTCTGAGGATAAATTACGAGTATTGTGGACTTTTATTTACTACTCCAAATGGTTTGTTATTGTTTTTCGGAAGGAGTGTTGGTATGCTATTTAATAAAATAAAAGTTTGTTTATAAAAATATGACTTATAAGCCTAGTCACATTTATATATATAAATTTTATTCAAGTACGGATTAATATTTTTAAAAGGACTACGAAAATAGGTTCGTATATTATTCGATCTAATGTGAGACTAATACAACCGATGTGGTGGTTCCAACATACAGAGCGGAGGAATACTTCAAGAGAGCGGTGGCAGTAGAGCCTAAAGACGCAGAATCATTAAACAAATACGCAACGTTCCTGTGGCGGGCGAGAAACGACCTCTGGGCGGCGGAGCAGACCTACCAGGCAGCCGTGGATGCCGAGCCAAACAACTCCTTCTACGCCGCCGATTACGCCCATTTCCTGTGGAACACCGGCGGCGAAGACACTTGCTTTCCTCTCGATGATGGCACCCCACATGTCAATAATAACGACGCCGTCTAATCAACAACCCCTAACTAAAGAAGTAAAAAAAACTGCTCACAAAATTTCCTTTAATGTAAGTTCTAAAATGATCGGGTAATTAAGGGCAGGGAGTCCATCAAAGATCTCACTTTCACATGGGCAGCTTATCCTGTTTGGCGTTTTCTGTTTACTTCCTTTTTTTCAGATTTTTGTTAGCTACCGCTGGAAGATAGATAGGGCCGCAAACTTCATCCAAAAAAAGATAGGGTCAGAGTATATATAATAATAAAAGGCAGATCGACCAAACAGTTTTTTAATTAGTGGGGTTTTGGAGCGGACTGTGTCCGGAAATTGTCGCTTTCCATTTCTCTCTATTTACTCTCTCTCGGGACACGTCGCATTACATGCCGACGATCAGGAACAGGCATGGACCATTTCCTCCTTCGTTCTTTCTTTTCTGGATTTTTCTTGTGTTTGTAGTTTTCCCCCCTTTTTACCTGTACCTGAGAAAATCGTAGGAATTTACCCTTTTTCCTACCATTTTTAATCGAGTTGTATTGTATGTTCCTTGTAATTTACTGTAACTTGTAGCAGTCGGAGGGATGATTGTAATTACATCTGTCAATTGATAATTTTTTAGTTAATGTGTACCAACCATTCTTCAATTTCTTCTTTAGAAATTGTCACATTCACCCAACCATTCAACCATTCTTCAAAAATAAGAGCAAAAACGTTTTGAAATTCTTAAATAGAAGTATCATGTTTTTTATTCCCTGAATATGAGTAATCTGCCAAGTTTGAAAGGTTCCCATAATAAAACGACACGGTTATTTAGACAATAATTAAATAAAGTACTTCGAGTATATTTTGAGAAATAATTTTAATAGGTACTATCCTCCGTATCACATTAATTGCAACATTGAAATATATACACTATTCATGTACTTTATTTTGAGTACATTTTATTTATTAATGTGTGTGAATTATTTTTTTTTTGAAAAATATTGTTAAATTCGTCTCATTACTAAGTTTTATAATCTGATTTTTATTTTATTTTTACTAATACAGAATTAAATATAATGACGGTCAAAGTTGTGCGTTGGCAGACGTGAAATGTTGACTGTTCCAACTAAAAGGAGACAGAGGAAGTATATATTATAATGTAGTTAGTATTGATAACTGTGATGTTATAAATGTATTATTTTTAATATTTAATGATTAATTTATCAATTAAGATTGTTCATTGTTTCCTAAAATGGAAATGGGAACCTTCTAACGAGACGTCCAAAAAAGAAAAGTAAGAATCTTCTAGCGGGACGGATGGAGTACATATTTAGAACTAATATAATGATTATTTACAAAAATGTGATTAGTGACTATAATAGTAACTTAATCCAGTAACTTATGTTCACCTTTTAAGCTTAAGTGATCAGGCCATCACACTATATTGTAGTAACTATTAATCATATTTGTGTAAATAAGTTTTATTTTCGTAATATTTATGAAAAAAACTCTTTTATAAATGACAAAGTTTTTTGGGACATGACAGTAATAAATACGTAGTAAATAATTTATATGGACTAATCCACCATTAACTTGTTATTAATAGGCCTTTTTATTCAAATATTACTATTAATTTACACATTTCCCATAAATTGAGTCAAGTTTCATAAATCCAAAAATATGACTACCCATAAATTCGTTACATACCAACAAAAAACAGGTCTAACTAAAAGGCCATTAATGAGTTCAAATGCTAAAAAATGAAGGAGATTCTCTAGCCGCCCACAACCGCCACTGTTACCACCGCGCACCGCTAGCAGTCTTGCCAGACCATCGCCCAGTCACTTGCTCCGGTCATAGTGACCGTCGCTTAGTGACTTGCTCCAGTCATAGTGATCGCCAATAAGTGACTTGCTTCGACCATAGTGACCACCTAGATCCGGCCAGTGACTTACTTCGGCCACAGTGACTGCCATGCACTCACCGGCCGCCACAGTGACAACCACCCGTCCACAGGGAACAATGACCACCACCGTGCAGTGATAAACTCCGGCACAACTAGTGACTGACACTTTCTCATTCCACTAACCACCTCCGTCTAGTACCACCGCCCCACTCCGTTCAGTGACCACCACCCCGACTATCGGAACCGTCAGTCACTGTCGCTGTCGTCTTGCACCCCCTCCCATCCCCAGCCCATCACCCCCCTCCCTAGCCCCCACGCACTCCCCAAACCACCAGCCCCCTCCCCAGCAAACTAGCCCCCTCCGCAGCCAACCAACCCCCTCCCCAACCCACCAGTGCCCTCCCAGCCCCTACCCAGCCCGTCAGCCCCCCCTCTCTGGCCACCAACCTCTGCACAATCGCGGCCCAAAACCACACCCCTCCCCAGCCCTGCAATCGCCGGCATCACATCACCACGTACCACCGTCGGCGACCACTTTTCAGATCTAGAACTATAACCTATGGGATCTAGGTCACAATCAAACCAATCACAGATGTAGAGACCAAATCGATGTAGAAAGGAGATGAAAAAGAGTTAGACTAGTAGTGGTTGTCATCTCCAAGGCTCGAGACACCATCGCCGAATCCTAGCAGCAGTCATCGCCGGTGGAGAGGTCTTCAGAGAAGAAGAAGAAGAAGAAGAAGAAGATGAGTGATGCGAAGGATGGTCGTGCGAAGAGCAGAAGGCGTACAAAGAGAGAATCGGCGTTGGTGTGGTATCCTTCGCTCCATCGTCAATTGCTGATTGGTAGATGCAGTAGATGGGTTTCACCGAGAGGAAGACGAAGGGGCTACATTGAATTCTAAATCACAGTTTTTGAAATTCTAAAATAGATCATATTTTAGTCCGTTAAGAGTGGGTAGGTTATATTTGTACAATTCTTTCTTATTAATAAACTCTAACTTCCTAAATTGTTCCCTATTTGCGACTTGCTTATGTCGATCTCCGTCGATCGCTTGCTTGGAGTCACCGCAAGACCAGCCGCGACCACCCACTACATTCATCTCTTGAGCTCTTTGATCATCTCCTTTCTTCCGCTCTCGCATCTCTCTCAACAGTAAGTCATTGCTCCCCCTCCCCCCTCAGCTCCACATCCTCCTCCCCATCCTCCCCATACTTTTTTAACTAACAACTAGTATTTCAACCCGCTAATGAAAGATGTTAGTTAAAAAATTTAACGGAATCTGCTAGACCGTTAGTATCAATCGGCTGATTCAACCGACTAATAGCTAGCAGACAACTGCTATTATCAAACAAGGTCTTTGACATTTTTAGTCCTCCACTTTTGATGACAAAATCTAAGTAGAAGGACGGAAAATGTCAATTTCACAATATTTAAAATATGAAATGTCGGAAATTCTAAAGTCGAATATCAAAAGTGTCTCATTCACAAAATATTGACCAATTTGTCACTATGGTTTCTTTTTTACCAATATGTCCCAGGTGATTTTTTCTACCAATCCAGTAAATCACCCTCCTTTTTACCAATTTGGTAATTTGGCCTCATTTATGGTACAACTTTGTCAAGGAGACCGTTGAGAATCACATTTATTTAACCATGTCACATAGTTTTTCAGGAAATTTTATGTGATAAAACTTATTTGTACAATCGTGTCAGACTATTTTTTAGCTTTATTTTGTCATGGAATTTGTCACAAAATTTTCCGTGACAAACATAAAAAAATATAATTCTCCAGGCGTATATACTTTTGTTACGGATGAGCTCCCGGCCCCAAAAACAACGTGCGCCATGAAATTTTGAGAAAACCGACGGCAACTTGTCACGGAAATTGCCAGGGAATTATTTCGTGACAAATTTTGTTAGGGAATTGATCAGTGAAAAATTATTTCCGTGAGATGATTAAGTGATCCGTGACAAAGTTGTCAGGAATGGGATCTGTGACAAAACACTGTGTTTTGTAGTGTACTCTAGTTTAACTCAAATTGATATAAATGCAATGTGCTATTGTCATTGTTTAACATTATTTCATACACAGTACAAAATATAACAAATGCAACTATCTTTTACAGAGTATTAGCTAATTTTCTTATAATTAATGTAAGAAATGTGCGAAAGTTAAAATGATACAAGTATATGCTAAACATGTATTTTTCATATCGACTTTATATCCGAAAGATAAGTAGTGGAGACAAATATGAAGTATTTTAATAAATATTAAAGTTAAAATTTTTCAGTTCAATTTTACGGGTTTTGGGTTTAAAACCAAACCATTTGGTTTGAGCAATTTGTTAGCAAACGGTTATGTTGCCGCCACCAATGTCATTATTATCACCCCCGATGTCACTGTCACCCAGGATCGGTGCTGGGGCATGAGCCCAGAGCCCATTGCTCCACTAGGACCCATAAATTTCTCAATTAAACATATACATATACACATATATTTTAAGTATATATACATGATATAATCTATAAAATTTTAAAACTAAAATCACTATGCTAGGGTTCTAATTGAGGTTGATGTTTCCCAACCACCGCTACTATCATTTCCTATTCGACTACCTTCCCGTAAAGTAATCAATCAAACTGTGGTTTATGAGACCTTTCCCAACTTCTGTTTCCACTGCAAAGAAAATGGGCACCACCTATCCATTTGCAAGAAATTGGCAAACAAAGAATGAGAAAAGGCTAGAGAAGAAAAGGAAGGGAAGACAGTGATTGAGGGCATGGGTACAGATTTACAGGACAAGGAAAAGGGAAAGTTACACATGTCCCTCGGCCAATGGATGCTTGACACATGTCCCCATCTGACATTTATTGCTACTATAAATAGCACCCCATTTCCCCATTTCTATCCAAGAAGCAAATACGCTGAATACATTTCTAATACTCTCTCTCTCTCTCTCTCTCTACTTGCTTGCTCTGACTTCTCTCTAGTTATTCCCCGCAATAACCCTTCGGATAAGCTACCCCCCGGGTATCTTATCCATCAGAGGCGTCTCCTTAACATGGACAAGGGCATAGATCTTCCGGTCTCGGAGAAGGGAAGCTGACTTGGACTACTCCCTCTTAGCCGAGTCTACTACTCGACTAAGGGAGTGGGGGACTCGTGATGGAGTTATGGAACTAGGCCCAGAGCCTAATCGACCCAAACCCTGAACTTGCATTGTGGGTCCCAAGCCCACAACCTAGAGCCTGCCTATCAGCCCAGCCGGGAGCCTGCCAGCCCGGCCGACCTGACAGTCAGGAAAAGTAACGGTCGAACAATTAATGTGTTGTTTAATTACGTATTTAATTATGTATTAATGTTATAATTAATGAGTCAGTATTATCGGTAACGGTTACAATTTGTATACGCCTATAAAAGGTGGGTTTGTAATCCAAATTAGAGGAAATAATTTCTATAAGTTATTCTTGCAACTAAACTTCTTTAGCACTTTCGTATTTCGTATTACTTTCTTGATTCCTGCTTGAGTGTTTCACGTAGCTTTCTTAAAGCCTACGAGCGTCATATTTTGGACCAACAGTATGCTTGATGTATACAAAAATGTATACAATTTTTTCACACTTGTCTCACAATTGTTGATATTTTCTAAACGAGTTGTTTGTATACACATGGGATAGGATGTATGCAAGAAGTTTATACTTTTTGTGTACATTTTTTTTTTCATTTTGGTATGCTCACGA